TGTAGGTACCCGCGACCCTCTGGGTACCTTTGGTTACTAGGGAATGGAAGAATGGTAGTAATGGTACCTATAATAGTTCCCATTCCTCCATTCCCTACTAACCAAAGGTAAGTTGTCTGCCTGCAGGTCCTGGTGTCTTCCATCCGAGACAGGCCGGCCACGAGATACAACGAGCGCTTCGAGGCGATGTTGGTCCTGATGGGGTTGTCAGGGTAACGTAGGGGCCTTAACAATTATAGAATAGGGTTTATTATACTATAGTTATGAGGGTAACATAGGGGCCTTATGAATTAGAATAGGGTTTTGGGCAGTTTGGGGGGTATATTATACTATCGTTATAATAAGGAACCCCCAAAATAATATAGGTAATCATGTAGGGCCCTTACATTAATACGAGTAGCAGGGATCTCAACATGTGTCGCGTCTGAAATCTGCCGCCTCATTTTCCAAGTGGAAGCTCGAGTTTCACGAGTAACCTGAGCCCTTACTCAGCCCCAGGATGAGAAGTCATCTGTCACCAGGCTTCTGCGAAGAGAGCCCGAATCCCAACTCCGATTCGTGTTCAGGTCCTGAAACAGCTGGTCCAGCTGTCGGCAGGCGGGCTCGAAAGCTGAGCCGACTATCGGCGTTCCATGTGGAACAGTCTGGCAGGGCAGAGTCTGCAGGGGACTGAAGGGTTTAGGGCTTCGGGTTATTATCTGGGTAGATGTTGCGAATTTTCTTGGTGCTTGCCCCTGTTGCACCTGAGACTTGAAAGGCCTCAACAACTGCGCCAACATCGCAGGTCGCGGCCGATGCTCGGACGAATTGTCGAACGCACAAAGCTGGTGTGCACAAACAATCACACACTCTATGTATGCAAAACTACATAGCAGGAAACACAACAGCAGAAATTGGTAGGTAGATAGGTGGATTGATAGACAAGCTGTATGTACAAATAAACATAGTCCATGCCTACATAAAGAAAAATAACGAGCTCTTTGCACATGAGGTGTGCGATTGGTTTCGACCTGTCAGGAGACGACCTGAGTGTGGAGGTCCTCGTGGCGGCAGCAGATCGTTGGGCTCTGGCCACGTCTATGAAGCCCAGTAACGAGCTCGAGACGCCTGGAAGCACAGGATGGTAGAAGTGCTGGGAAGGAAGCGCGTAAGCCTGAGAGAGTGGCGAAGGTTGCTTCAGCGTTCCCTAGCCACAATGGAGTTGGATTTCGACGAATGACTAGAAGCTGCCAGTGCACTGCGTAGTTTGGTATATCGGGGCTTTACAGACGTTGGCCAAGGACCTATCACTGCAAAGTGCAGCGTGTACTGTCCAGCCGCGTGCTACAACACTTTGCGGACCTTCGCAAATACTTCGGCTCCATCAGCGACATCTGGAAGGAGGTACCCGTACCGAAAGGTCTGAGAGTTTTAGTCGGATCAGCAGCGTCTACTGAGAGAGTGGAAGTTGTGTAAAATCAAACATAGGCCAGACTGATGCGTACCATCGAAAAATGTGCCAGGGCGTCAAACACAAATTGACACACGCACACACACTCACTCTCTCTCTCTCTCTCTCTCTCGCGCTCTCTCTCACTCACTTGCAGCATCACAATGTGCTAGCTAGTAGTTTGTTAGCTATCTAACTATCCCACTCTTTGTTCTTCTCTGTCTCCTTTTTCAGCCAGCTCCGGTGTTCATTCAGGTGGATCCACAGCTTTGCAACAACCGGAAGCTCGTGGACGCCCTCGCCGCCTGGGAAGTCGCCTGGGAACTAGGCCCAAGGATCAGGGGACCATTGGGGGGTTCGATACCAATTCTTAGAATCTTTTTAAGGGGGGAGAGATCTGGGATCAGGGGCTTTGTCAGATCCTAATATCCTCCACTTCGGTTGTTTCTTATAAGCCGAAGGAAAGTGGAGTCTTTTGGGTTGGAGTTTAGTCGAGCCCGCGGCCTGTTGTTGCGCCGTCTTGTGTTTATTTCCAAGAGAGGGTGCCTTTGCAAAAGGAAGCCATTTATAAGAATAAACTTAAGGCCTTTTGACCTCAAGAGACGTGGGAGGAATCAGGCCATTTTTGTTCGTTGCCTGGCCAGGCAACCGCTCCCTCCTCAAGAAGGATGTTTTGCAATGCTTCAGCAGCTGCGCTGCGATGACTCTGGATGCCTGGCAAGTTCATGGAAGAGTTGGTTTGGTGTTGAGCATACTTACAAGATGCCTGGTAGCCGGCCACTACAGCGTGATGTCTCCCTGCAATCAAGACTGATGTATTGCAGGAGATCTCACGCAATATCTACTCCCGAAACCCCAAGTTCTTACTAAACTCTAAACCCAAGACCCTAAACCCAAACCCTAAACCCTAAGCCCGAAACCATCAAGCCCATCTGTTCTGATACTCACCGCCTCAGGATGCCCAGCGACTCGCTCCGTCTCTGCCCCGGCTCATTGACACCCGAGACGCAGAGCTCTTCCTGCTCCTCGGAGATTGAGACTAGCTGTTGCGATATAGAAGGGATTTAAGGGCTCCTTTGGGGGATCTACCACATTTTTTGATTGCTACTGTAGAAGCCCACGAGTTGGAAACCCAATAGCCTCAGCTTCAATCCTGAAGAGTAATGTACAATGAAACCCTAAACCCTAAACAATGTACAAGGAGTCCCAGCACGATTTGTCCTGAATCCGGTCACCGACCTTTTGGGGCTTGCTATAGGTTACCATTTAGGCTACGATCCGGCTACCATGAGGCTACTAAGTATCATGGGGTTGTAACAAGGGATCTGAGGAGTGAAGACTTTGTGGTTTGAGTAAGGCTTGGGGATCAGGACCGGCTTGTCTAAGGCGGAAGACGCTTCAAGTCGTAGGGTGGAGGTATGCCAGTATTTCTGAAAATGTGTGTCCTTCATAGTCTTTCGGCGAGCTTCCGACGAGCACACAAGCTACTGCTTCAGGTGCAGATAAGCTAGTGGGTTGGACTGTTCCTGGACTAAGCCTGGAAAGTTTCACTGGTTCGACTAAATGCACCGCAGTATGGTAGATGCAGTCTCAAGAGGTCCTGGTCTCTGGCATCCCACCGCATGCAGCGGACGAGGTTAGGGATATCCCTCTGTCGCTTCTTGAGCAAGCGCATCATCAAGAATCATACACTACACTCACCAACCGAAGACCTAAGCCTTAAGCCCAAAGCCTTAAGCTTACATCTGGTTCCTTCCAGGGGTTCTGCGCCTTACGAGGGCTCCTCTGGAAGCTGCTATCAGGGCTCCTCAGCTCCTACATAAAACCCTTGATCCGTAAACCTTAAACTCAAATCCCTCAAGCTGAAACCCTTTGGGTTGCGGACTGGCAAGCCTCCACAAAGTGGCCTCCTGAAGTTAGGGACTCGAGGCGACGGAAAAAAGGTGTTCAACAAAAAGATCTGACACCCTAAACCCTCAGCCTCAAACACTGAACCCTCTAGGGCCATTTGATCAATGAATCTCAGGATTTTGCCCCGGCTGGTGCTTCTCAACGCCCTGCGAGCTCCGAACCAGTCCGGTCTCCTCCGTGAGCTCCTGCCCCACCAGCTTCTGGGGGTCGAAGTTGGATAGGGAAACCATCTCCTGGAATTTTAGGGTTTAGGGTTTAGGGTTTTGGGTGGTATGTTAAGAGATGAGGTTAAACTACCAGAAGGTGAGGCTTGGTGGTTGGAGGAATCAGGGAGTTTCTTTCTGCCTCATACGAATGTGCCAGAATGGAAGGGTTATTTGAACCAGCCTTTGGGTTTTCTTAGTTACGGGTTGTGTTTACGTATACTTAAGCTACCATAACGTGAGGGCTTTATATGACCTGTACAGAACACGACTTCAAGGGACTATTGTAAGGAAGGTCTTTTATTTCTTGTGGCAGTCGTAATAGCCCAGGTTTGCAGAATGTGCGGAGGCCGAGGGAAAGGAGGAGCACCGCGAGGACGACCGAGCTGCAGGCAAGGAGGCGGAGTTTTCGAGCCGGCTGTCCGAGCTGAAGCAAGGCTTCCAAGAGGCAGGGGCCTTTTAGCTATGTCTAACAGGTACTATGATTATAATTCGGTTGTAAGGGCTCCTGTAAAGAAGCATTGTAAGGGCTGCCACAATGATTTCTCTCATTGGTTCCACTTCCACCCTCTCACCTCCTTTAGTATTCAGATCACAAAGAAGCCCTCCCCCTTTCAATGGTGTGGCTTAACCCTAAACCCTAAACCACAAACACTAAACCTCAAACCCTAAAAACCCCAAAAACCCCAAACATTACACCCTAAACCCTACACCCCGAAAACCTTAAAACCCTAGAAAAAAAAACCCTAAACCTGAAGAGAGAGAGAGAGAGAGAGAGAGAGCGAGAGAGAGAGGTGCAGAAGTCCCTCCTCCGAGCCTCGGAGCGCTCGGACCGGGACTTTCTGACGCGCCGGGTGATCTCGGGCCCCGGGGCCGAGACGGAGGGCGACGAGACCTGGGCTCCTGTTAAGCCATGAATGAAAGGTTTAGGGGTTTAGGGAATTAGGGTTTAGGGTATATATTACTAAGAAGCTACGAAGCATATAGGGATCTATAGTAAATAAATAGGGTTTCTTTATGAAGAGGGTTTTTACAAAAAAACACCCCAAGAATACCAACAATAACTTCAAGAAGAAGAATAATAATCGTCGCAATAATCATAATCGTGAAAATAGGGATCTATGGTAAATACTAGGGTTTCTTTATGATGGCAGCTTACATCAAGAGCCCAGGAGCCGCTCCACAACTTCCTGCTGACTCTTGAAGGCCGAGACCAAGCCCGGGGTTCTTTGAAGAAGTGGCTTTTTTCTTTCGGAGGGAGCGAGGGCTCAGGGTCAAGGGATTTAGGGCATTTAGGGATTTAGGGTTTAGGGTTTAGGGAGGGCTGGGAGGGCTGGGGCTGTTTAAGTATGGGTAGTTAGAAGTAGGGTTATAAGTCCCTAAATATGGGTTAGAATTGTAGTTATAATTATAGTCTAGGGTTGAGGGACTCTGGGGCCCGGGGTTCAGGGATCATCTTGCTGGGCCAGGCCTCAGTGTGGAGCTGCAGCGATACCGGCCGACAGACTGGAATCAGACCTGTTCGGCGCCACTCGGGCGCTCTTAGAAAGGTTGAGGGAGTTGAGGGTTTAGGGGCCCCTGCTTCTCAGAGGCTTCCGAAAGTCGAGGCCTGGGTTCCGCGTCTGATCGAGCAGTGTTCTATGACCATTTTTTTGCAGAAACCTTCAATGAGAGCCTAAACTCACTAAATCCAGCACGAGATGCCTAAGGCCATGCACTCCCGGACGAAGACCTTCTCCGGGCATGAATCCATCTAAAACTCAATGAGACCTCTACAGACAAACTCACTCTATGATGTCATACCTTCCCTGAGGCTAGAACCAAGACCCTTGATCCTGAAGTGATGTGAAGCTCTTGAAACCCTAAACGCTGCACCTTAAGCCATATCAGCCCTAACAACACCTATAGGGTTTCAGCAGACAGCCCTGCCCCGACATGCGAGGTCCCACACTTTAGACCAAACAATAACATTGAAACCCTGCCCGGCCCTCCCCCGTGGCCTGACACTGTACACAACACCCCTACAACTCAACCCTAACTCTAAGCACAACTTAGTAAGTCGGTTATAAGTAGGGTTATCATTAGGGTAACTGCATTTAGGGTACTTATAACTCTACTTATAGCCCACTTACTAAGTCCCCTGGGCCTCCAAAGTAAAGAAGCCCTCAATCCTAACCCCTCATCCCTGCCCAGGCTACTAGAGTGCATCGAGGCCGCCTCTGGACGGGAGGTCGGGCACGCCCCGGCCCTGCGGCTTCCAAGTGCCTGAGCCATTATCACTAATTTTACTATTATTACTATTATTACTATTGTTACTATAAATATTATAAATCCTGCGCTACCTGAAGGACCCTAAACTATGGGAATTATGGTATATTCGCAATTATAGGTTATGCAGGATTTATATCATCAACCATAGGGCTGTGTAAGGGTTCTGCACATGCTGTTGTTTTCTTGGGTTCTATAAGGGGCTGTTGCGAAGGCTTCCTTCAGGGTTTTATTGAGGGCTTGTAGAGGGTTCTTCAAGTTAGGGAGAGTTGGAACAGGCGCCAGAAGCTTCCGCAGTGCCACCAAGGTGACTTGACGGAGGACTCCCAGGCAAAACGGGCGTGCCGTTGAGCGTCAGAGTCAGTTCGGAGAAGCTTTGTTCGTGAAACAGGTGCAAGAGGCAGGTAGATCTGACAAATGACCACGGGTTAAGCCCAGCACCTGCCAGGAGAATCAGCCTGACTTTGAACCTTCTGCTTCCCTGAGACGAGCCATGAGACCTTGGTGTTTTTGAGGTGTCCGCGTTTGGTTGTGTGGCAGCCCTCAATCCAACCAGAGAGAGCACGGGCCTAAAGGGTCCAGCAATGTCCAGCTTTAACTTAGGGCCTTCATGCCTTCACAATTGCTTTGGTCATCCCTCCACACAGCCCACGCACTAGTGCTCGGCTCCGCTCCTTTCCATTTGTTGCGAGGCCCAGGTCACTTCCGCGTCGCCTTCTAAAGCCGTTTTGGCGTAAAAAGAAGCTACAGGACGAGGTAATTACATAGTCGCCTGGATGGAAGGGCCCACGGCCGAAGTCCTTTAAGGGACACGTAGCATGAAGAATTCGCTGCATTGCCCCCAAATTGCCGTACGAAAGCTCAGCATTGCATTGCCTCATTGCTGCAGTTGCTCTCCTTTCGGCGCTTTTAAAAGACCGTTTTGGTAATTCGAGCCTTCGCCATACAGGTGGTCAGGGCATTGGGTCCGAGACAGAAAAGCTGTCAGTGTCAGAAGCTGACAAGGACCAACAGGAAACTGTTGAAACCGTAGATGATTCTAGGCAGCGTTCCACTCTCTAGGTTCTCATTCAAACCCGAATGAGACAAAGTTATCCTTGGAAGAAGGAGCTTGGAGAAAAACTTGTAAGAGATGCTCAGCAGCCACCACAAGGGGAGTGTCACAAGCTCTCGGAATGTCGGCGTTCGCCCAGATCGTGATGGTGATCAACGTGGTGTTGCAGCTTGTGCTGGTCTACCTTGCCACGCCCTTATTGAATGCTCAAACTCCCTGTTCGCTGTAGGTCTGTATATGTAGATGTAAGAATGTTAAAAAGCTTCCATGAAAGATGTTATTGTGGAAAGCCCTTCAGCCTCGGACCCAGGCAGAGTTCGAGCGACCTCTCTCGCACACCAGCCTCAACAGCTCCATGATGAAGAAGGCGTGGAGATCTCGAGAATCACTGGGGCTGAAGGCAAGTCCAAGTCTTAAGCCCCGAAGGCTTCTTGTGACAGCCTGCTGCATTCATCTCTTCGTCAGAAGTCGCGGTCTGTTCTCCATAGTCAGTGTGCACATCGAAGGCATTGAATGACTTGCCACGATTGCTTTCAAAGCTTTGAAGCCGGATGTTTGGAGGATCAAGCTCTGTAGTTGGCAGGCCGGGAGGACCCTGTGTGGTTTGTTACCCGGCCGGTTCGCAAAATTAACGCCAATGCTGGCTTCCGTCCTTGCTTTCAGGAAGCCTTTCACAAAAAGGCTGCTTAGTCGCAGTAAGATTGGGCTGAATCTTCAGGATGTGAAGTGGGGAGGTCTTGCGCCCCTTGGGCAGCGGAGAGACAAGATCATCGGACCGAGCGGGGCCTCGACACGTGCAGCGAAAGTCCAATCGGCCATACACTTCCTGGCGGATGCAGACGCGAGTGGCCTCGCCAGCATTCGCTGGGCTATTTCTCACCTGCAGCAGAACGGGGCCAGAGACGTCCGCACCAGAATTTATGCTCCGCCTCCGCGGGCGCAAAACGCGCAATGGAGTCGGCTTTTTGCTGAGGACGGGGTCCTGTTCCATCCTGTTCCGCGTGGTACTCATGCAAGAGGAGAAGAAACCGATGCAGCAATAGTGGCAGAGATGAAAAGCCTGTCGGCCAAATTATCTGCAGGAGGATGTATTGCACTAATGACAGCGGATACTGGCTTTGTAAACGCCGTGAGCATGGCCGTTCGTCAAGGAATCCATGTAGTCGTGTTCGCACCGGAAGGTGCAATGTCGTCAATCCGGCAGTTCAGATCAGCTGGCGCGCAGACGGTGACGACTAGTGCTCAGGCGGCAAGAGTACAGGCGATTCTTCATACGAGCGGCTGCGGAGAGGTGCAACTTGCAGAGTCGTTCCTGTATGCACCACATGAGGAGGCAGAAATCATGGCCATTATGAGTTTTCTCCAGGACTTGCAATATCGAGACGGGGAGCAGTACCTCGTGCCATCCATCGCCAAGTTTTGGTTCACAAACCACCTGGGCCCGCTGACTGTGTATCCAGCCGAGAGCGCAGTCAGAGCCGCTCTGAAAATAGCTTCCGAACGCAGCGTATCGGCTTATGTGAAGTATGGCAAGAAGCTGGCCTTTTTCCTTCCGTGCGCAACACTAAACCGCACAACCCAAGCAAAGCTTCAGAAGTATGGGACGATGCGCGCGAGAGCAGTGTTCCGAGGCGGTGGGCCTTTCGTGGCCGAAGATTCACAGGATTTGGTGTCCCAGGCCCTGAGCCGCCTGGGATTCTTGGATTCTAGCAGAGGCCATGCTTGCCTTTGTGAACGTTGCAGACAACAAGAAGCTTCTCCGAAAACAGTTCGATGCTTTGCCGTCATGTGACGACACTGCTTCGCAAGTCGAAGAACGTTTGAGATACGCGTTTCTCTCGAACGGATCCAGTGGCCAGTGGGGTATTAGCCCCAAAGATGCTGCCGCACGGGAGATCCTTTGCCGAGAAGGGTTTTTGCCCACAGAAGCAGCAGCGAGGTCCGAGGTTTTGAAAGCATGGTCTGCCCAGAAGAAGAAACTATACGACAGTTATGTGCACAATATTCTGGGCACACTCCGCAGAGCTAACCCTAACACAATCGGAGATGTTCAGTTTCGGATCTGAGCCACTTCGACAACCGTCGTTGCCTGAACACAATTTTGTGCAAAGTCGGATGAACTGTCTATCACACCTGCATTCCGTGCCTTGCTGTGGTGCTGTTCGCCAGGGCAGGCCTTAGCCGTAGCCTGGCTCGGTTGATGGCAGCTGAGGCTCTTGTAGCTGCAGCCAAGGCGCCTTTAACTAGTTCAGTAAATCAAAGGTGCGGAGATTTGACATGCGAGAGCCGAAAAAGGGCCGACCGTCAGATTGGTCGGATGATCGATCGTGTGGCATGGTGGCATGTTCTCAGCCTGGCGCAGCTGAAGCATAGGTTCGAATCAGTTCTGTGCGGTGCGGGGGGGCAGGTTTGAAGGCAGTATCTGTATGGCAGTCTCAGCTGGCAGCGCACCGAAGCCACGAACCTTCGGCCTTCCGTACCCGCTGCTTGCTTGCCAACACGAAGCCGGAAGATTATCCTAACCATGAAATGGCATGCGCCTCGCAAGCGAAGAAGCACCGCCAAAGTTTTCCATCGCAGCCTTTCTAAGCTGAACAGTACGAGTAGCAGGCAGCATCTCTACAACCTTCTTTCAATCATTTCGGCCACTTGTTGTTCTCGCATTTGTCGCATGCCAGCTACTGTGAGTACTCCCTGCACTTTGGGCCCATCTCCGTCCATACTTTTCCGGAACTGGCATGCCAGTCAACTAGCGAGAATCATCGTAGCAGTCATCATCAGCATTCACAGCAGTTGCAAGAGTCTCTCTGAACTGTCATCTGTGAACATCGGCAAATAACAACAGTGAAAGTAACTGAATCGTTGACCATGCGCAGGCATTTTGGGCGCAGACGTTGAACACCGGATTTGCTGGAGCCTTGAGAGGGCAATCCAGGTCCATGATGCAGATCTCGCTTCAATCATTCACTGTGTCACTAGGGTTCAAAGAGGCTTCTGCAGTTCTCTCGGCCCTTCATTTAGGTATAACAAACTCCTTTCCAGGAGGCTTCTTCAGGTCTCTCCGCCCTTGATATCGGTAGAACGGTTAAAATAAGGTTTTGATGGGGGGGGGGGGGGCGGGGGGTNNGGGGGGGGGGGGGGCAGGGTGGCACAGAGCATCGTAGCCTCGATCAGGACAAACAGCAGTAGCAGTAACCGGCAGGAGGAAGTACTTTGACTCAGTTCGGACGAATCCGAGGTTCTCTTCTTCGTGAACTACTTCGCCCCGGAGGTGCCTTTTTTGCTCTCGCCGTTTGACCAGGGCATTGGTTCGATGTAGAGTCAGCTACACCCCTTCGTGACAGACAGCTTTAAGTTCCCAAGCTCCCGAGCTCGTGGTGGTGTCACTTTTGAATGGAAGAGGCAAAGCAGTTGCCGTGTCAGCTGTGAAGGCTGTCTTCCAGTATAGCTGGTTCGCAGTGACGGGTGGTGTTTCGGAAACCCAAGCCTTCTACCGGAAGGACAGTGCAGGCCCGGCAGTACTCAGATAAATGCTGCATCACATGAAGCAACCCCTGGATGCTTTTTATGTCATCTTTCAGGTGCTCCAGAATGCAGTCCTCATCATTCCGGGTGTAGGCCGCCGGGCACAGCCGCAGACACAGTTTAAATTGCAGTTCTCATCATTCCTGGTGTGGGCCGTTTGGCCGCAGAAGATTGGAAGTGTTTACAGACATCGTCACCGTCGATTGAAGGAGGTGTCCTGCGTGGTAGAACGAGAGAGTACAGTCATGTCTTTCTTGCAGGAAACCTTCTCTTTCGTGGGCCCTTCGCAGAGATCACTCGCGGATGGTATGCCATCGTTGGCAGCAATCTCAGAAACGACGTGCACACATTCAATCATATATCATGCGGTTCCATACCCACGAGTCAGAGCGGTTCGTGCCCAAACACCTAATCGTGGAAAACACAGAACAAGCCATGTGGTAAAAAGTTACATCCTGCAGGTGTGGCACTTCAGCGACCTATCGCCAAGCTTTAGAGTGGTCAAAGGTGTCACCATCCTCATGAACATGCTGCTGAACTGCTTCGTGCCGGCCGGCGTGACTGTCGCGAAGATGATAGTCAATGTCTTCATGAGGCGTGACCCTCTCCACTGACGCTGTAAATCAGCCATGGTTTGAGAACGCAGTGGATTGACCACCGAGTCTAGACTCCTGAGCAGGTGTTTCTTCAGAATGGGCGTTGCTCACCAGGCGCTGCAGCATGCCGTGGAATCTGCAAGCTAGCGAGTAAAGCCTCGCCGTGACTCAACCTCAATATACACCGGCCAGCCGAGGCACCAAACCACAATTCGTGTCGCTCAGCGAACTGCTCTGATTCATCCCCTCCTGACAAATTCGGTGGCCAGCGACAATTCAATTTGCAATGCAAGGGCTGTCTGTGATGGTCTTGCAGCGCGGGTGTCATGGTGAGGCAGAGCTGCTGGAGCTGTACACGCACCCGGAGTTCGACATCAAGCAAAAGTGCCCTCCTGTGGGTGTCTAGCTGTACACGCGGATCGGAGGAATGCAGGCCAAAGGGCTTGTATCGGCCGGCTGCTCACATGATACCAACTACCCACAGGCTCCATTGTAGTTCCTTTTTATGGTTTACATTTGGAATCCTATAAGGAAATCCCCAAAAGGAACTACTATAAGGGTCCTCTGGGTATAGTCATCTTCCAAGCAGTTTTGGCAGCGGCCCTCCAAAGAGCCAAGAGCGCCGCCACACATCGTTGCACGGCCTCGCCTGCCAGGTACGCACAGCTCCTCACGACCGTTTTCGTTACACTGCGCTCACCTCGGCAGGTCTGCGGAGTGTCAACATTGACCAGCAATACTGAACTGCATGGTGATTCAATGATTCAGTACACCGTACAATGCGGCTTTGGATGTAGAGCAAGGACTTAAGGCACAAAGAGCGAAAAGAGGACATAACAGGGGATCTGGTGTTCAGACACGATTTCTACTACTGTGCGGCAACGAACCAACCGGGACAACTGGGTGTTTAGCTTGGGCCTACAGTGATGGGAAGGCTTGTTGTCGCCTGATCAGCACATGAAAACACCTTCAAATGTGTTCCGTCCAGACCTATGTAGGTCCCGCCAAGCTCCAAGCTCCGTCCACGCCTAAACGGAGGCGTGACAACACTTTTCAAAAACTCGCTTTCGGTGTGTAGGAATATAGTTTCCGGGTTTCCGCCTTTGAGAAGTCCGTGAAGCCCAGGATGTACGGAGCTGGGCTCCCCCTCCTGTACTTCTTGGCTTGCGTGCTCCGGCTGCAACAGCATCCCGAGAGGGGGCAGCTGATTTGTGCATCAAAGATGTCTTGTGCTGCTACGACAGTTTCTTCTGTGCATGACAGCGCGACGCTTTTCTGCAGAGGTCGATAGGAAGATTTCCACCACAGCACTGAGCCTCTTAGAGCTTCCATGGTCTGCGGCGAATCCAAGGCCTTCATGTTCTGCCAGTGCGCCGGCTGCCACATCTGTGAGACGGTTTTATGCTCATGGGTAGTCTGGTACAAGCAATGCTCCCAACCACAGCTCCCTGTTCTCCCAAACTGAAATATCATGAAATCAATGACACGTTTCCAGATCGTGGCCTCAGTCATCGTCTTCAGCGGTCTCACCAGGTACTGGGCAGACAAGTACTGCTTACTTTGGGGCTCCCGAAGGCCTGGGCGTTGGGCTCAACGGGTTTCAGCCGGAAAACACGAGTTCCCAACTGACCTGCAATCTGCAGGCCTCCGCACTACGATACCAAGATGGCCACGGAGGCCATCGAAAGCATGCTTTACGTGGCAGCCTCGGCATTTTGAATTTCGCCCATCTTCTGAGTGCCCTTCGTGCCGGGTAAGAGCACCGCATGATGGCTGGCTCCGTATCCTGAAACTCAGTCGCTTCATTGTGCCGACTGCGCCGGGGCCCTTCGTTTTTCTTAACGCCCCCTGATGTGCTGTTAATCCTGCGTCTCCCTTTGTCTGCCTACGCTCCCGCTCCCTGACCCAGCTTTTTGCCGAGCCGCCGCCTCTTTGCTTGCTCGCCTCAGCCTTTATTCGATCCCTGCGTTTGTTGGCGGCGCTGTAAGCCGCAGCTCAGAGGAAACTTTCTTTGCATCCCCTCTCGCCTCATGTCGACTTCTCTTCTCTCTTGAACAAAATTAAATAAGCTGAATATCCGGCCGCTCTGGCATCCGAGATCCGCTCCGGGCAGGTCCGGAAAATTATGTAGACTTTCTGTAACGGCTCAGGGGTCAAACAAACCGGTCCAGGGTTCAAAAAACGCGGGAGGGTCAAAACTCAAAACCAAAAAAAGTGCCGAGAGCTAAGAAAAGTGACACCCACTGCACCGAGGCTGTTCCTTTTCATTGCGTGCTGGCAATTCTGATGCGCCCCGAGCTGAAGATTCAATTCCAGAAGCTGATTTGTCAACTGCTGAGGGTTGAGGATATCATATCGGACGGATCACAAGGCACCGTGAGGCTGTCAACCATGCATACCCAACCATGGCCATCATGCTTCTGATATTAGCCCTGGCCCACGAAGCTTCAGACAGCAGAGGCACAGTCGGCACGCAGGTCATTTGCACGTGGAATTTCAGAATTGCCTTCCCCCGGTGCTTTTCTTGAGGGTGTCGGTTCTGCTCTTTGCCAGGTACGGCCAGACGTGCGTCTTTCCGTCCAACCCCTTAGGAGGAGCTCGTTGCAGTCTTGCTTCCGAGAGCTCCGAATCGCACCTTCACTCGTTGCGAAGGAGACCTGGGGAACCTGGTGGATGAGGCACATCCTGGGAAAGGGATCCCTTCCCTCGTCTCTTGTACATGGCTCGGCTTTCCGCCAGGGATCCGGTTACACGCCGGGCATGCTCCAGCAGTTCATCCCGCAGGTCACGCGTGAGCCCGCGCCCCTTGGGGCTCACAGGATGCGGAAACAGGCAGTTGTGTTCAAAAGGCACTTTGGATTTCTCATCGTCTGAGTCACAGTAGCACTGCAGGGTGCACTCTTAGCACATGGTCTGCATTAACTGCCTACCAGTCTGATTTAGCTTGTGCGGGCAGGGCTATCCTTTCGGATCCGAAAGTTTTGTGCAAATCCTCCCTTGATAACATCTTATTTCCCCGTGTTCGTACTCACGGCGAGCTGGCTCATTTCGTAGATGCGTAGTAGTCAGGCATGGGTTGTCGTACCAACACCGAATGAGATAGTATAGCCGAAAATCTAATCTAATCCAACCTAACCTAATCCAATAAATACACAATACGATGTGAAATCATAATATATATATATACACACACA